GTTGGGCGGCTCCAAAATGGCCGTGGACGACCCGAAATGGCCCCCCGCAGCGTTTTCGCGACCTGGGTAAGCAAGGGGAGGGCGCGAAAACACTGACGGGGCCATTTCGAGTCATCCGGCGGCCATTTTGGAGCCGCCGAACAGCTATTTGGCGGCTCCAAAATGGCCGCCGGACCAGCGAAAACATCGCTGGAGGGATAAGTTTTGGCGCCTATTGGAACGCATTAAACTAAGTTTAATGCATTCCAATAGGCTTTTCCTGCCCCGTACAGCGATGTTTTCGCATAGCGAAGGTTAATCCGGAACGGATTAACCTCGCTATGCGGGGCACCACTGTATCTGCTTTTCAGCTACCTTTATAGTTGGGGCATAGAGTCAGGAAATGGTGGAGGAGGAATGTCATATGGTTAAAGTACTGGTTTGTGTGCCTTTTGCTTCTGCCTCCTCTGTTGTGGATGGCAAAGAGATAGATTTTGTGAATGACAAAGAGATGGAAGGGAGAAGAATATGTTTTATACTATAAATGATTTTAGTTCCTTTTGGGAAATGGGAAATCTATAAGTTACTTTTAAAATTGTACCTGTAACATTAACTAACTACTTTTGGGGTCCTTGAACTTGTAACAGTAACAAATTATGTTTAGTAAGTAACTTTCTGAGCTCTTCATATTTTGGAGAATGGAGGGAGACCTATAAGGCCTATTAGATTATCCCATGTGCTCTTGAGAAGGTAATTCCTCTTTCAAAATTCAAGTGGTCAAGGAACACAGTCACTCTCACGAAAGAATAAACTATCCGAAACTTGTACTGGCATTTTCTGAAAGACTAATGTTCTCTCTGTCTTAATAAGGCACTTGACCTTTCCAAATAGACAGCTATGTGGCCAATGTTATTAATTTGAGTGGGAAGTATGCTAGATTTTCCATCACAATAATACAGAGGGATTTTGCATGCAGAGGGGTTTTATGCTGCTGTAGAAATACTGTTGGGCCAGCAGTGGAACATGCTTGTGTAATCCCCTTATGGTACTGGTGCAGGCATAGAGGCAAAACATGTGTTTAGAACTTCGGAGGTGTTCATCAGACTTTAGAAAAGTTACTTTTTTTTACTATAAGTCTTAGAATCTGATTTTGGGGGTTATGGGGAATTTTAGTCCACAAAAGTAATTTTTCCAAGGCTAAAAAAGAATCTGAGTCAGAATCTTCTGCTCACTCAGCTATCCATCAAAGCCCCAGTGCTGGCACAATACTACTCAGAGTAGTGTTCTGTTGACTCATTTCTACTGGCATTTACCATGCATCCAGAGTTGTTATTGGAAATATATTGGATCCTGACAAAACTATGCTGGTACAGCACGGGAAGCAGATGGACCAGGATGGGGAGCGTGAATTACCTCAGGAGTTGGAGGGGGCTCCCTCTCACTTCCCATGAGCCATCACTGTGCTAGAGCATTTAAACAGAAGTTCAGCATAATGAGATCATATGTCATTTCCCAAGAGTTAAACAGCAGTGGGTGACATGTTGCAATATATATATTTTAACCAACCTGGTAGAGACATCCTGACAAAAGTAAATGTTGTGTTTGGAGATGTATTACATGTGAATACTGTATAGAAGAATGAATGTGTTCAAGAATGATGAATAAGAAGCGAACTCAAACTACTTTGCAGTGAGCTCTTAAGGTAATCTTAGATGTATGTGGCTAAATATGTTGTATTTGTTTCATTTTTTGTTCTTTTGTGAGTTACCTCTTTCATTTCCATATTTTATGTGTGTGTGCTGGCCCTTTTGTTTTACACAAAAGGGATTCCCTCTTTCTGATTATTTCATTTCATTTCCCCCTTTTTCTGTTTCCTGGCTTAATGTGGCAATGAATAATCATAAGATGTAAAATACTGTATGGGGTTCCAATCTGCCTCTTACCAAAATGAAGGAAGCTACTCAAGAGTGCATGGGATAATCTAATGCTGAAGTCATATCCTGTGGTTTCAGAAAGAACTTTCTGTTCATCTCATGGTTGAGATGTTGATGGGTATCAAGCAGCAACAAACCAATACGCCAGAAAATACACCACAGGAATGTATGCAGCTCTAATCTAAAATGGTGCTAAGTTGAATGAAGCCACCTTCATGGGTTGACCAATGCTTTCATTGCAGTGACTTATATATTGATACTCCTTTTCATCTGTCAGTCTTCAGAATCTGTTAGAGAGACACTAATATTCTATGACAAATAATTTTCCATTGTAGTTCAGAAAGCTTGTTGTACACTGTGAATATTTTCTGTTGGACAAAAATTAAAATTCCTATCTAACACAATTTCCTACCATAGGGTCAACTTATTTTTTGTTGTACTCTGCATAGAAATATAATGCTAAAATGCCATATTTGTAGTCAAAAGAATGTTACATTTATTGATTCATTGATTTTCTTTATTGTTTCATTTGATTAAAGTATGCCCTCTTTGAATTCTATGATTTTACATATCAGGACATAATAAAAATCATATAATGGTAACCACTCAGAATAGTGTCTAGCACTAATTGGGCAGTATATAAGGTTTTTAAATCAATCAATCAATCAATCAATCAATCAATCAATCAATCAATCAATCAAGTAAGTAAGTAAGTAAGTAAGTAAGTAAGTAAGTAAGTAAGTAAGTAAGTAACACATACCAAATCCTTACACACACATCCCACACATATACACTTCTGTTCTATTCTGCTCTGTTCTGTTCTGGTTTGATTCCGAACCTCGAAAAAGAAAATGTGTTCTGAATGTGTGTTCAAAATGGCAATGTGGATAAATAGTGCTTTATTTGATCTATGCTTCCTTTCTGTAGGACCAAATAGCATAGATCGTTAAGGGTATGATTATGTGATTGCTGAAAGTAGGCTTGGACTGTTTTTGTCTTGCCAAACTGGTATAACAATGCTGAGTTGTCCTGTTATGCATATTGTCTTCTTCCCTTTAGGTACTGTAGTGGAAAGCAATCAAGAGCAGTTAAGAAGTGTTCAGACTGACAAGCTGACCAATTTCATGTAGCTATTGAACATGAAGGAAACTACATCAGAGCCAGGTCTCTAAGAGGTAAAAAGAAGTGCTCTGCTGAATTTTCACAAGTTGACATTTTTACTGTAAAGATGAAGCCTCAAGTGATTACTGGCTCTCTACTGCTACTCTTGTTCTACATTTTCACATTGTACACACTGATATTTTCTTGCTTGCCTTATGATCCAGACAATCAAAGATTGTGTAACTTAGAGTGATGATGCCACAATGAAATGCAGCTGATCCGATTCAGGTTTGTGAGAATGCTATGAAGCTGGTCCAGAGTGAAGGCAATATTTCATGTCTTCCTCATGAATTGGCTTAGAATATTAGACAGCAAAATCATTTGTGGTCGAAGCAAACCATTTTCTCTTATGCTCACCTCTTCTGAATGACTTCCATAATTGTACTTGCTTTTTTAAAAATCATGATCAGAGATTCCCATTCTCCACTACTAATGGGAATCTTGTATCATACTTCTCCACACTGTATAGCCAGATTTAATAGTACTAACAATAATATGGGAATCCTTAGTGGAAAAATATTATGGAAACACTTTTTGGTGGTTGTAACTGATCTTTTTTCCATATAAGAGTTTCTTCTTCTGTTTCAAGGCCAAAATACAACATTCACACCACATGAAGAATAATACATAAATGAATAATTTCTGTAGCCGATTCTTTTAAAATGCCAACCAACTGGGAATTGACCTTTTCTTGATCATTGCTTGTGTGTAGTTTAAGGGAGAAGGCTGTAATTTAAGTACTTGTGTACCCATTGTATCTGATACAATACATGGAAATTTTGTCCTCTGTTAGTAAAGCATGAGAAAAGGGCATTGTATGTGTAGTCACAAGGAATGATGAGACATCCCTCCAAGCAACAAAACTAGATATCTGGTTGAAGAACTGGAGGTTGGGAGTTCGATTCCCTACTATGCCTCCGGAAAGTAGAGCCAGCCTGAGCGGCCTTGGGCAAGCTACACAGTCTCAGGGTGCCCCCAGAAAAAAGGGAATGGTAAAACCCTGCAAAAGGGTCGTGATAAGTCAGAATTGATGGCACATGTTTATCGCTATTCATAGACAGAAAGCACAGTGTGGAGTTTGAGTTAAAAGTGGCAGATAGAGCCCTGGCAATGGCATAATATAGCCTTTGCCTCCCTAAAAGAAGCCACAGGATTAAGTTTGCAAGAGCTGAGCAATACGCTGGAGGTCACTTGATGGCACATAACAGCAGCAGCAGCAGCAGCAGCAGCCTTCCCTAGCCTGGTGCCCTCCAAGTGCATGGAACTATAGCTCCCATCATTTCAAGTCAGTGCAGCCACTAGGGAAACCTGACATAATATTTTTCCACATTCCTGTGAAAAAAGATCTGGACAAACTGTTACAACTGATTCTCACATCAATTGGCAGTTCTCATGCTCCTTACATGTGCCATGGAGTTGTAAACACAATTGTCCTCATTACTTCAGCCACCTCACCTCCTCCAGTGCACAATAAAGAAAGCATTGATAAACCATCTGTAGTCCTATGATGGTACAACAGAACTCTGCTTTTGAGCCAAAACCTTTCAACAGGTAAAAAGCTGATTGTATTTCTGAATGCTCTGCTCTCTGGTACTGCCTGGTACATTTGCACTAACCCACACAGAGAAAGCTCACTATCAAGAGACTGATGTTTCTCAAGGTATCATGTTAGCTGTTAAGACTTGTGCCAAATCCCATTATGTTAACATGACCCCATCACCCTCTCTGTCTCTCTCTGTATGTCTCTTTCTCTCTCTCCTCTTTCTCCACCTACAGGGTGTTTTACAATACCAAGAGAAGCTCATAAACTTGCACAATTCTTGTTTGGGCACAGGGGACAAAATAGCACTTGGTTCTTTTGTGAATGAGTAGATAATTCATTGCCTGTTCCTTCTGAGTGCCAAACAAGTGGCAAACATAGACATTTGGCCATCATCATTTATACTGCAAAACAAACAAGGAGTGAGTGTTCAGAGTAACAAGTCACCATGTCCCAGGAGAGGGCCCACTGCCAATCCCTAAAGGCTCCTACCCCTTCCACCCTTCCAGCTTATTCTTGTTGCCTGTTCCCTTGTTCTCACTGAGCAAACAAGCAATGAGAGGAGCAAAGAGGAGAGCAATACCCTCTACACAGCTTTTATTCATCTTATTTAAGATGGTGCAGATTGAGCCTAGAAGGAGAAGCCAGCATGTCACCTGCAACGATAGTGACAGGAAAAGGGAGGTGGGCATAGCCTTCTCAGGGAAGAGGACTAAAGGACATTGCCTAAGACCCCTGACTGTGTGCAGTCCAAAACTGAATTCTTTAGACCAGTCGTTCTCAATCTTTTGTATCTTGTACTCTGTGAAACAGCTCCCAGAGGCCCCATCATGATGCAAAAGACCACTTTTAGAAGAAGAACACTATATTATATTATATTATATTATATGATATGATATGATATGATATGATATGATATGATATGATATGATATGATATGATATGATATG